ACTAGTTTTCTGTATTTGGGCTTGTGATATTTACGTTTGTACATTTTTCAAGCGGAAAAAAAAAATTATATTGACTGGACAACAGTGAAAGATCACTTCTATTCAAAATCTTGAAATATCATGCTTCAACTTGCTGACTGTCATTAAAAATATAAGTAAAATGACTGTTCGACGAAACCATACATAGACTTATTTTCAATTAAGACGAAAATTCCTCAAACACGAACGACATCCTGAGACCATTTAATTTACATATTTAACATTTTTTTCAAATGAAGTACATCCCTATTTTCAAAATAAGCTCCCGTTGCGCCCGCGACGCCATGCCTACTGCGTAATAAACGTTATACCGTCTGTCATATTATAGAAACATCTCTTTACATCAGGTTCGAGTAACGTCTACTACGCACTACGCAGTTCGCCCCCCTCCACGCGAATGTTTATAAACAAACTGAACGCTTACAAATTCCCAGAGCTTCGGCTGGCAAATACTGCAATCTTATAAGTCTCCAAGCCGAAAGCGCGCGCTGAAATGGGTCAAGTGGAAATTTTAATAGCATACCTGTTCCGGAAAAACTCATCGACGCAGCCGCGACCGCCGCCACAGATGACGGAACGTTCATGAGCGTGGTCACTCATGCGTTAGTGATTCTGGTAATACGCGTCCATCACACCAACTGTGCAGTCAAATAATTTTATTGCCGTTCGGAGATTATCGATTTTACGTAATACGACGCAACATCGTGGCCGCCGTGCGCGGCGCCCACTGCCGGCGAAATGGGGTTGGCGGGCCGCCCCGCGTGCGCGCGTCTGCTAAGCCCCTATAAATCTGCCTATACCTACGTATCCCGCGCCCCGTCCTGCGTATGAAACTATGTTCCGGAGGTTGTGAAAATTTTATTATCTTCGGAATAGACAGTAGGTACATTCCACAATAAGTGGATAGTACGTTCAATTGCATATAAATAAATCTCGAATACACCGCGTAAGGAATCGAAATTTTGACAGACTTTCCTTGCCTATGGTAATCCAGTCTTTGACGTAGTGCTTACTCAAAAATGCGTCTAGGATTTGGAGGTTCCGCCATAGAAGCTGTTCTGAGCACGCGACTTGAATAACAATCACAGGATCTAACGCCACCGGAATGGATGAAGGAGCTGTTCTCTTTTGTGAACGGACAGAATGAATTTACCCAGACTTGAATCGCCGCGGCGGTGGTCGAGTGGTCAAGAGCCTTTCATTTGATCCAGAATGTGCCGGATTCGACTGCTGACAATAGCGAATCCAAAACTGCCTTCTGAATGAGTGATAAACCCATAATATAATGACGTATTTCAAGTGTTATTTAATGGTTTATGAAATAAAGGTATTGTAAGAAGCGTACAACCTCAAATATTATTTTATGAGATAGTTGAACGAAATGATTTCAAAAAGTATTTAAAAAAAATAGAGAATTAAAAATTAAAGGAGTCTTGGAATTAACAAAAAGAGTAGCCGAAAAGAGATTTATCGGAAAATTAATTCCAAAATGTATATAATTAGCTTTATTCCCCATAAATTTTTTTCGTTCGTATTTCTTTCTTAAATTTAAAAAAAAAATATACATCATAATCGTTTTTTTCATCACAGGGACGAAAGAGTATAGAACAACTTTAAAATAAAATTTGCTTTCTTTCTTAAAATAACGTTGGACATTTTGCACTGAAATCTTTTAAATTGATAAAAAGGTACCGTTGTCGAATTGGTTTAAGGAAAATGTTTTTTAAGTTTTTTTGACCAGTCTGAGTCATTTTAAGCTCCAAATACTACATCGTATTAGTGTCTATAGAATTATTAGAAAACAAACATTTTCCTCTATATTTTATCCCATTGCTTTTTTTATGAATTTTTTGTATTAATTAAATAGTTGCGTTTATAATGTGTTTTGATTAAAGACACAAAACAAGTATCATACCTCCTTTACTTTTCGCCTTTTCTTATTTACTTTCGACATGATGGGAACAGTTTCTTTTATTTATTACATTTTTGCCACTAAAATTAGTCCTGGTTTGCAACCTGAAAAACAATACGTATGTAAGAATGGGGAATTATATATTATGTAGATCTTTTGTATAGAGGCAGATTCTGTCCTGAGATACGAGAAAGAATACAAAAGACAAGACAACAATAACATCGGAAAAATAGCAGCAACGTCTTATGGGAGGACTCACATAGGTACGCACTACGAGACCGGCGGAAACTACATGAACCGTGTAGACTTCAATAATTGACCACAATATATATATATATATATATATATGTCTTAATGAAATATTCCAGTTCTGCTTTCGGTTTCGATGCCGATATCGTTCTCAAAGCTAATTCCAGTCCCGCTTAAATTCCATAGCCGGTCTCGTTTTAATTCCCATGTCGGTCCCTGTCTCAAACTCATATTACTACGTATATCGATTAAGTGTTATTCATTTTCATTCGCGATAAACACTACAGTAGTGGCCGTGCTGTGCTACGGCCAGTTTGGTTGCGAACCGGAAATTGCTAACTCAATAGGTGCAATTCACACTCTCAGAGAATACTCTCTGAGAAATTATGACTTCACGCCTGTATAGCCGTGAAGTCATAATTTCCATTGTTACTTCACGTTTGGTCCAGTGAGTGAGAGCTCTGGTGGCCCACTGCCACCCATCAGCCAGATACATCAGATACACTATCCCAGCCCAAGAAGCCGGCAATTTACTGATGAGCCCTCCGGAGTCGCAAGTGTGCATGAGCGGCGGTGACCAGCTGTACTCCGGCGACTCGCATGCACAATGCTCCTCGATAATGCTATGAAAAAATACAATTTTTATTCTATGTCGCGTTTATGATTATGTAAACAAGTAAGTAATGGGTGTCCATGTATGTACATAAAGTATCTATTATTATAACGTATATAAAGCTTCTATCACACACTGTGAGCTATGTTCATAAAAAAAATATATGAAAAGCAGAATAATCTTCCTGTTAAAAAAAAAATTTGGTTGCCTGTAAAGTCGGTATACGGGCGAAAGTTTTACGTGACAACGACTTTGAATGGTAAAATCATTTTAATGTGAATATTCATTCGTATAGTAGGAAGAAGGATGAAATAATAGTAACAATTTAAAACATTTATTTATACAAAGAATTATATTTAAAACATTAATTTATACAAAGAATCTCGCACTGAATTTCATATTAACAAAATTTTATTTTACCTTTACATACATACGTATTTATATACAAATATACATACAATAACTTGCAATACATTTGCAAGCTATGCACTAATTCTCTAGTGCTGCGCGGCAGACCGATCATAGTTGAGTGGGAGAGACGCAAGGCATTCGGCGGGCTCTCTCTCGTTCGGTGACTCATCGTTACGTTACCGAGCGTTACACTTTTCATAAGTGACTCCCAGCCGCAACCTAATTTAAGACGTTGTCACGTCAATAATAGAATAAGGCTCTCCTGGAAATGCGCAGGAGTTTCGTTTGCGAAGTTTTTTAATCTTTGCTTATGTGACTGGCAACGTGTTTTTGACTTCGTTTATAATAATTACGCATAACATATCTAGAAGCTTGCTCACATTCTAGGAATGTTTTGGACCAGTCGTGTGCAGATGTATAAATATATAGAATTCGCGCGTTAGGAGTTTAGTTAATTATCCTGATGATCGATGCATTAACAAGCGATCAGTCAAACGCGTCCAGTGGTTCTGTAGCTCGTTATAGCGTCACTCTGTAATTGATTACATCCCATCTGTTTGTTAGTGTTTACTTTTTCCAGTATTCTTCGAATCGCCTCAAATTATCCTTTTGCAGAAAAGGTAAAAAAACAGATTTTGTATTTGTTTATTGGAAAGCCATATTTACTGTTTATTTTGGATTTTAATGTTTCTTTATTGAATCAGTAGAAAAAGGCTTGTCAAAGATCTGCACAGAAGACTAGTTGTAGAAATTTCGTCTTATTAGTTTTCATTTGATACTTCATTACAGTGTAGATATATATACTGCATAGCATCCATATATATATATATGGATGCTATGCAGTATATTATCCAATATATTATCCACATCACATGCAATGCAAATTGCACTTAGCGCAATCCTAACTTAAATACATCACACATGTCTGGAAATAATAAATTATGCGACAATAATAACTAAGTATAATCTAGTGCTCACAGTTATTGGATAGTGAATGCAGCGATTGATGACCACCGGCCGCCAGACTGGATCATCCATTGAATTTCAAACCTTCAATACGGTGAAACGACAAAACGTCGCGGTATATTTCTATGTGTCGCAGTGTTTACAAAAAAATATATCACCTCACAAATCGCTTTCAATGATACAACCTAGTAAAAATATTCTGAATAAATAAAAAAAAAAATCCACCATTTCACTCGTCTTTTCTGTATTTGCTTTATATCCTCAACGGGCGTCGATTACTTAACTGAAGTGTTTTTTCTTTTTAACCTTAACTCATAGCGGGAATCGGTGAGACGTGCATGGACTTCCTCTCGCCTTATATACTGGAGACCTCATCCGTAGCTTTCGACCGATTATTTTTTTTAGGATTCCGTAAGTCCAAATGAAAAAAAAAATCTGTCTGTCAGCCACGACGCACGACTGGAGTTTATTCTTTAAGCGCGTTTGTTTTTCAATATACGAGGCAAGGGAATAAATAATCGTATCTTTCATATCAGTGAAAGAATATTTATACTTTTATTCGTATTTATTTACATGGATACGACAAAATATTGTACATAAATCATATTACGTAAAACGCTGTTACATGTTTGTGAAAATCGCACACCTAAATAAAAAAATCTCCATTAATAATTATCTCTTATCAAATAAATGTTCGGTATCCAACTACAATATTAGATACCATTATATGTATCAATAATTCCTATTTTTAGTTACAATAATGTAAATTCTTGAAAATATTTTTATAAAGTTAAATGAAAAAAAAAAGCCTTGCAGCGGTGAGATTCGAACCCACACCTCTGATGAGACTGGCTCCCTAAACAGGCAGGCACCATAGACCGCTCGGCCACGCTATATATGAAAACAGTGTTATAAATAATAATATAGATCAAATGCGTATAAAAAATTACGTTTTGAGTTACCTCTCGATTTTTTCTCTCCTCAAAAAATTCCCATATCTAGCGTCTTATGCAAAAATCAATTCTTAAGGAGAAAACTTCAAAAAACGGAACCCTTATAAGATCCCTCGTGAGTTCGTCTGTCACAATAAATTTGTTTGTCATCCATTAGATGGATTGTATTTTTTAAAGGGTTTTTAAATATTTTTAAATATTTTTTTAAAATTTTGTAACATACCAGCAGTCTGAATTGTAATGTTGACGTGAGACTTTCGATTGACCGCCTCATTCTTTTAAATTAAGTTTGGCCAAATTTCGCCGAACCCCTATTTTAAATTCACGTAATCAACTGGCAACCCTCTTACGATTAGACGATTATTCATTCGTATTTATTTGTGATTAGCTTTAAATTATAGCTATCACAAATACGTACATATGTACATGTACATATAAATTTAGCATTAGCCATTCATCTCAACTTATAATGAATGGCTAATGCGAAAGCCGAATTCGATTTCGTATAACATTTTTACGCGTGTTTCATATGAATATGCGAACACAGATACGGGCAGATAAACCCGGGATATAAAACAGTTCTTGTGCTATTAATTGTCATTAGCACTGTTCGACAATATTCGTCATATTATCATTTTAATGAAAGTATTTAAGTACTTTTAAGGCACGGGTCATTTGCTAATTACAAAGTGTCAGGGTACCTAACGAGATTGTGTGCCTACAAGTAATGTTACAACGAAGTTGGCATAGACTATGTAATCTTGTAATGTGTAATCGGTAATTTTGGTAACATAAATGCATATGTATGTCGCGTCGAGAACGCGTAACGAGCGGTTAGAGACAAGGCGCGGCGGGTCGCGACTGATCATGCGAGTCGCAGCTTAAACGATCCATAGACACGCAGAGGACGCGGTGCCGTAAACTGATTCGTAACCGTGTCTATATCAGAATACGAGGATGTATTAGCACCGTTGAAGTGATTAAATGTTATGAAAGAAAGTATTGCGTTCATCATGCTTAAAATGGACGAGAAGTACATTTGGAGCATCCTGAACGTTGCGGTGGTTTGAAATATCGTGGCTGTTTAATGGATAGGCGCGATGCTTTCAAGCTGAAAGGTAGGGTTTTTACCTAAGTTAAGAACACGTTAAGCCGTCGGTCCCGGAGTCGTCATCGCACTGATGGCGACTGCAGTGGCAGCCCCTGACCTGCACTAGGTCAGCGAGCAGAGCTTACCGGTATGACTGCTTATGGTATATAAAAATGAATATGGTATACATATACGGCGACCAGGTTCGCCACCCGTCACGCCTAGTTCTCCGGATGGGCGAAATGAGGACTGGAGCATTCGGTTTCGGTGCTCTAATACGTGTGGAGGAATGGATGATAAAATCGAGGATGTCTGCGAACTGATCAAAGGCAGACGACTGGATATTCTATACTTGAATGAGACTAAAAGGAAAGGTAGCGGTGGAGCCTTCAAACGCGGATCCTTCGACACTTATTGGTCTGGCGTTGATCAGAGCCAACGAAGATGCCGCGGTATTGGGTTCATCATATCAGAAAAAATATTTGAATGTGTAAATGGTTACGTATGTGTTAGTACAAGACTCCTCTGGCTCCGAGTTAAAATTGGACTAACACGGATTTTTATTTTAGGTGTATACGCTCCAGATGTGTCCTAACCGCTCGAGAAGCGGAAAAAGTTTTGGTTTGATGTGAAGTACATATTAGTGAAATATGACAGAAACGAAAGTATAGTAATATTAATGATTTTAATTGCTGGGTGGATGTACAGCGGGACTGATATGAGAAAGTATTAGATAAATTTGGAAATGAAAGAGTGAATGATAATGGTGATTACGTTCTCCTATTATGTCAAGAGTTTAACTTGTGTGTAACAAACACTATGTTTGACCACAGAAGGACACACTCATATACTTGGCCGAGAGGAGAAGACAAAAGCGTGATGGACTTTATAATTGTGGATAAACAGTTGAGAAGTAAAGTTGTGGATACTAGAGTGTACCGTGATCTCAATGTTGATATAGACCTATTCTTAGTGGTCTTCGAATTAAGGCTTTATGCCAGCGTTGGCGACACCTGGCGAAAATAGTTAGAACGAATAAAAGTTGGTAAGCTTCAGAATCAGAATGTAAAAGATGAGTATGTAGAGCGATTGAAAGATAGTTTGGGTGAAATCAAACAGTATGAATGTTTAGAATTTGACAAATTATGGAAGGTGACGAAATTTCTATTAGTAGATGAAGCAAAAAAGGTGTTTGGAGTGAATAAGAGAACAAATGTCAGTAAGAAAGATAATGAATGGTGGAATTTCGAAGTGAAGAAAGTAGCCAGTTTAAAGAAAAGAGCATGGCTATATTTACGATCTGCAAAGATTAACCATAAAGTGCATAGATAGGACATCTTGACAGATAAGCTAAGGGATGCTGAAAGTACGTATAAACATGCAAAAATGAGAATAGAACAATGTACAAAAAGAAGATAGAATGAAATAAAAGAACGCGATGATAGGAGATTCTCGGATAATTTCCGGGCAAAACAAAACCTTTTTTGGCATATCATGAAAAAGACCCTGAATAATTCCGAGACATCATGCGTATATGTGATTAGAGACGATGATGAATATTTACTGAATGAGGAGAATAAAATAAAAGAGCGCTGGAAGAATTATTTTGAAAGCGTTTTTGCATGTAAAGATACAGTTGCAGATGACAAACTTACTGCAATTGTGTGTATGATTGATGATGGAAATGAAAATGAAATTACGATGGATGAAGTTATGAAAGAACTAAAACTTATGAAAGTTGGAAAAGCGGTCGGATATGATGGAGGTTCTTCAGAGATGCTGAGGGGCGATGGAGGTATAGTGGCAAGCCTGCTGTACCAACTCTTTAACAAATATTGGAAAGCCATAGGATACCTAACGACTGATGTAAAGCAATCATTGTACCTATCTATAAAGGGAAAGGTTCACGGCGTATTTGTACAAATTACTGCCCTATAAGCTTCCTCAGCGTCGTTGGCAAGTTGTATGCGAAAATCATTATCGAAAGAGTTGTGGATGAGACTGAAAAGAAGATTTGAGACGTACAAGCAGGATTTTAAAAACGAATGATATGTAAGGACCAAATTTTTTTCTGCGAAACATTGCAAAAAAATTTTTCGCAGGCGGCCAAAACGTTTTCTGTATTTTCATAGATCTGGAAAAAGCTTATGTTCTATAAGAGAACTCTATTCATGCATGGAGTGAGTAACGGATTGATACAGGCACTGCAATCCCTATACAGGAGCTCCAGTGCTTGCGTATAAATGGGACACACACTGACTTGTTTGACATCCGCAGGGGTGTGAGACAGGGATGCGTATCTTCATAGTGGCTATTCAAGGATAGCTGTCTGTTTGATTTGAAAGAGTATGAGGGTGGATAAAGGATGGATGAGCTGTCTGTCAAATTTCTCCTATGCGCCGACGACCAAGTAATCCTTACGCTGTCGGCATGCGGGCTGCAGGAGATGATAAATAAAATGATTCTGTTAAAATCATTTTATTTATCATCTCTGATAAATAATTCTGTTAAAAAAAAGGGTATGAAATTAAATATCAGTAAGACTAAGGTGATGATATTTGAAAGGGGCGAAAGCACGACTGAATGCAATATACTTAAAGAAGATGAGAAAGTAGAACAAGTGAAAGAGTTTGTATACTTAGGTAGTCTGTTTACAAATGATGGTAAACGTGACAGAGATATCGAAAGGAGAGTGAATGCGGGAAATGAAGTGAATACTCGTTATTATGGATAGTAAAAGTGTCTCACGACAAGCGTGCTTGGCTATCCATAATGGCGTCCTAATCCCTACGCTTATGCACTACAAGTGAAAGCTGAGTATGGCAAAAGAAAAATGAAAGTGAGATCAATGCGATCGCTGATATGCAATGTGGAGATGCGATAGCTACGCAGTATATACTCTGCACAGAGTCTGAGAAAGGTAGTTGCAGGAACAGTGATGTTAGAGAGCGGTGTGGTTTGAAAGAAGATGTAGTGACTAGAGCAGAAAGATGTATGTTGCGGTGGTTTGGCCGTCTTTAAACGATGAACGAAAGTAGACTGACAAAACAAATCTATAGAGCGAATATGTGTGATGGAAAGGTCGGCAAGGGTAGCCCTAGAAAATCCTAACACCATATTGGTGGCATATTAAAAAAGGACCAAATTTAAGCACCCGAAACCGACGAGCTTGCATGAAAATATTGATGGATGTCAGTGAGGCAAGAGACATACAAAGATCTTATCATTTTGAAATTTATAGTGTCTGACTACCCTTCTGAGAAATAGGCATAGGATATATATACATATATATATATATTTTTTGTGGACAATTTGCTTGTCCTATCCCTTTTCTTGCAACTCTCCACCAGATGGTGCTGCTGCATACCAACTTCTATATAGAAACGATCAATTATATATATATTATTTATGTGGGTAAACCTTTATCGCGCATTTAGCAATTAAGTTTTTATTTTGTAATAACCTTATTCATTAACTGGCAATATTAAAGGCCGTGACAAAAGGTGACTGATGACAAGGATGCCGTTTGGTTTTTAAATACGATCTAATGACTTGGTTGGTTTCTTAAAAAAACTATACAAAGAACAATCCCGAGCATTACGATTAAACAATCCCACATTTATATGAAAATCTGTTATATGAAAAAAAAAATTAGTGCATTATTCTAATATTCTAAATATTAATAAAATTCAATGCATTTATAACTACAAACAAGTAACAAAATTTATAAAATTGTAAACGTTATTTGTGGTAATCAAAAAACTGTAATCATTAACAGTTTTTTGGTAAAAAAAAGAATTTGCGTATTTTACGTATTTTTAGATAAAGGTTGACAATATTACGTGCTGTGTGA